ATTTCCAAGCCCCCCAGTACTTTGTTTCCGCCACACAGCAAATAAAGCACTACCTTTCCGCTCCGATCGTTTCTTCCTCCTCCGTTTCCAGCGCCGCTGGACTGTGCAGAAGAGGGTTCCCATGCCGAGAGCCGCAGCTAGAAGAGATGCCATGCACGCACCTACAGTTCACCACTGCCAACCCCCTCGCCCCCTCCTAATGAGGCAGCGCTGGGCTCCCGAAAGCAGGGTTAGCCCTGCCTTGCCTTGCCCTCTCCTCACTGAGCCAAGGCCCGTTCCTCGAGCCACAGCGAACAAAGCTGAGCAAATTCTGCAGCTGTCCCTGCCCTCCGCAAGAGGCACATGTGACAATTAACCCTTTGATAAGTGAAAGGGGCAAGGAAGGACAGTTTTCTTAGAAGGACAATATCAAAGACATCCTCACTACTGGGTGTGGAATGGCAAATTTATTTGTATTTCATTACTAAAAAAGAAGAGCAATTCTTTGGTGTGGCTTCAGCCTTATACATACCTCAGGAACAAGGAGAGACATAAGGAAACATTTATACATCCTAGTGCATGAAACCAAGATGCCTTCAGCATCCTTTAAAATTGCTTCTCATGTTCTTAAGTGTGTATTTCATACCTTGCCTAGAACTGCACAAAATATATTTGTGAATGGCAGGAATACATGTATGCAAATCTCAAAGAGCAATGTTTTAGTAGCAGATATCCCATACGAGTGTTTGTATACCAGGTCTGACCAATGGCTTCCCAAATTCAACATGAACTGTAGCATTTTCCAGCCTTTTTACAAACAAAAAGAGCAACATGTGATATTATGGGATAATGAGATATTACCCAGTTTCCCCAGTCTAAGCAACCAAACCCATATTCATCCTGTGGATGCTGTGGGTCCTATGGATCAGCAGCACAGACTGGGGGTTGTAGCTATCCTTTAATGCTGCTTGTGGATTGAACCTTGTAGGACAAAAAAAAAATCTTCCAGCAGGGCACGTTTGCAGGTGCAAGCTCCACAGCTTTCTTCAGTGTGTTACTAGAGTGAGGAGACCTCTCTGACAAATCACCTTCACCTGCTCTCAGACCTTAGTTTCTCAGTATAACAGGCCCTGGCTCTTTGGAAGACAGCACACAATCAAATCTGGGTAAGTCTGGTAGGTGACTTGCACAAATTGTCATATTTTGACACTAACCAGGCTGGCATTTTTGGAAAAATATTGCCACCGGCATCTTAAATTAGCAGTACTTCACTAACCAAAAGCAACACAAGTTCACCACTGGGATGGGGTTGAGCTGCTAACAAGGAGCCCTACCTCTCTACCTCCTGCTCCCTCTACTGGCACTTGTTCTCCAGATCCCAGGTGCCAGTTTATTCACCTCCAGTCTGTGATAGAAAGCTTCTGAGATTGAGTTAACTTGTTGACTGAAATTATTTCTGCAGGACACCCAAGTGCTAAGGGCTCTTCAGAAGAGCTGAAATTCTACTTCAGCATCTATGTTAATGAACACTACTTCACTGAGGATGAAGAAATATCAGCAGAACCATCTGTGCTCAGTTTACACAGATTAAAAAGAAGAACTTGCCATGGTGGAACAAACCATCAATGCCATGGTCATGCTACCACACATTCACTACCATCAAGAAGTCCAGGAGGAAATGGGTCCTCATCACCATCTAAAACCAACTCCCCAAACAAGTCTTCCCCAGGGAAAAAAGGTGTGATCTTCCTTTGCAGCAGACATAAGGTCAGGCATTTTCTTATGCTTCCAGCATCTCTCCTTCCTTTATTAAACACTGCCCACTTAGGCTCACAGACCAGAGCCATGCTCTGGATTAACACAGCAACATTTCTCCCTTCATGGAAACCAGAAATAACTTCATTTAGAAGTGATGATAGTCTGATATCAGGCCCTGCAATGTTACATCCCAACAGGCCTAGCAGTCACAGCAACATTAAGGCAGACATCAAGGGAACCCCAGCGAGGCCCACAGCTCGTGTCAGCACAGGCACCGGCTGTGCCTCAGCAGGAGCACTTTCCCATCTGACCAGACCTAATTCAAGACTAAGTTAGCAGTTCTGCACCTCACTAATTAACAGTTTCAGGCTGAGTTTGACATTTCAATCCACATTAAGCCGTGCATGACAGGGAAAAGACAAGGTGGACAAGGAGGGTATCTACATCTACATGGCTTTGAAGGAAAAGCACCATTGATATACAGAGAGAAAAGGGGCAAAAACACTCCTTAAGGAAAAAGGAATTCATTTTGCTCCTTTAAGCAAACAGCACACATTGTAAAATGCAAAAAAAAAAAGCAGCCTGTGAAACCACTGAGCTCTTTACCATAATGCTTCCAGCTATTGAAACTTTCACCATCTTGTCCTTACCACAGGTGAGGAAGATGTACGTAACAATGTATATTTTTTCCTTCCCTTTGAGGAGAGGGAGAATGCTGTATTAGGCATTGGAAGTTCAAAAGTGATACTGCCTTCAACAATTAATTTTTCTGCCCTAATCTGTCAGAGATTTTCATCACAGGACTTGGTGTAAAGACTGAAAAAAGGACTCCTACAGATCACCCCTGTAGCTCTCCTCTCCAAAGCAGCTCTACTGACCATTGCTCCCCAAGGCAAAGTGACTCTGGGGTATGAGAATCAGGAGGAAGAGCTGAGATAATTTTAGCTTGAAGGATGACAGCTTTCAACAGACAAAAACGTCTCGAAAATCTGATTACTGACTAAGGAATGTCCACGATGCACTTAGAAAACTTAGTGATCCACTGTCTTTCAGTTGCAGTTGGCACATTAACAACAGTTTTAGGAAATAAAAAATATGCAATCTGCAATATGTATGAGATTAAATATTCGATATCTGTAAATACATTGCAAAGTCTGCATGATTAGAACAAAGCAGGTTAAAAGCTGAGTGCAAGGAGGCAAATCCAACACACCAGAACAAAAACATGGCATTCAGTTTTAACATGTGCGTTGGAAGCAGTAAATGCTGTAGCATCTTGTATTTCACAGATTCAACACCCACTGAAGCATCAAGGAGAAAATGGACTGCCTCTTCTCCTCAAAGAAAAAGCAATTCCCAGGAGGAATTTGGTTACATACCTACACATCTTATACATGTCCATCTTGCCTGCATCACTGAATTAGGAATGCAGAGACACTAAACAACTGAGGTAAATTAACCCAAGTGAGATCATGAGCTGCACAGCAAGACTGATGGAAGAGTTCAGTCCCTTCTCAATTCTCCCCTCTACCACCTAGATCCTGGAACAAAGCCAGCCTAGGTTTCTGTGGCTCTATGGCTTGTGATAGACGGGGTTTTGTGGCTAAGTATTTGCGAGTGCAACCTGGAGACCCTGTAGCTGTGGCATCTACAAGCCCTTCCCATCCAGGTTCCCTAGCACCAAGGAGGCCATGGTACAGCCCTCCTGCCAGACGTGTCTCCTTCACCTGGCACTCTTCACAAAACTCATGGGAATAATCTACCATATCTTCAGGTACACTCCAGACTCACTTCAAATCAGATAAACTGAAAAGCTGCTGGGGAAAGCAGAAAGATGACAAAAAGACTTTGATCACAGAACACAAAAGAAACTCACTATTTTTTTAAAATACATTACATGAAAAATCTCTATGCACCAAAACCACCTTTGCAAATCTCATTTACTTATAGATTTAGCCACTGTTAACAGCTTACATTATATATTCTTTGAAGAAATAGTCACACATCGTATTTTGTAAGCACTTTCAGTTGTTTTTTGCTCCCACATGCAATTCATGTATTTTTCAAGCATGAGGATGGCATTGCCAACCAACAGCAGTTTTCCTTCAAGTTTTGTGTATTGCAGCAAAAATGAATATTAATTAGCAGCAACGGATAGAATTTTTATAGGTTAATTACAGCCCAAGCATTTGTTCAGCACAGTGAATCTCAAAACACAGAGTTGCTGGCTGCACACCAGAAATCCCAAGAGCTCTGATACCATATGCCTCAGCTTGCAGTTCAACTCCTCAGGTGATTAAATCCACTCCAACAGCACCATCTACTGTTACACTACATCAATAATTGATTTTACACCTATTGCTCTCTTGACCAAGGAATTCTAGAGCCCAGCTGCAAATTAGAAATAACTTAAAATGCTTGCAGATTTATTCGACAGTAAACTATTTTGGAACACAGATTTACTATGAAGTTTTATATCCTTTGTCTGTATCCTTCTTACTGGCTTACTTTGAGGACTGAACAACTAATTCTTAATATATGTTACTTCTGAAGGACTCCTCAAACACCCATGACTGTCAAGAAATGTATTTAAGATGTGCTTCCAAGAAAAAAAGTGGTAACCATTCAGAGGAGAAAACTGAGCAGCCTAGATCTCCCAGTAACCATTTAAAATAAAAGTAAATAGATGGGGCTACGAATTGGTGCTAAGAAAAATAATAGCTAACTGGAAGAAAAATCTAAAATAGTTTTAAAGGACGTTAAAAAAGCTTCAAAGATCTTGAAGTTATTTTATAAAAAGAGAAAAAAAAAAAAAAAGAGTCATGCAGGTAGGGTGATGTTTCGCATTAGGAAACAGACTTACAAATTGGACATACTTCCTCCTTTCCCACCACAATCAGTTACAAATCTTGGCTCAAACACTTAGCAAACTCTCAAGTCCTACATGCCAGCTTTGCATATTTATTTTATTAATATGGATTGGATACAAACTTGCAGTCAGAAGGGTAAGTAATTTTTTGTAACATATTGACTTGATGCAGTCAGATATTTCTTAACAATATTTTTTTCCATTTTTAAACTGTATGATTTAATATCTTTGAAGGGATTTAGTGTACAAACAAAAATCAAAGAAATATAAAGTAATAAAGTTTTTAATAACTCTAAATATATTAAGATTAATTCTCTCCTTTGAGTTATGATCCAAATGTATCAATCAGAAAACAAAGAATCTTGCTATATATTTGCAAATATGATGTGCTTACCTTTTTAACTGAGACACATGTTGATTTTGCAACCTACAAAAAGAGGAAACACAATTAGTATTTTTTTCTTTTACAAAGTGCATTACAAATGGCAACTCCTGACCTTAGAAGGGACAAATGTCTGATTCTGTAAGAATAAACAGTACATACTGCACATACACCATCATAGAGCCAACTCCCCTGTAACCCCAGCAAAGGTGAGGGGAGAAAAAAAAAAAGAAACAAAACTCCAAAAGCCCAAGACCCAAGCCATGCTTAGTACTTGGGGCCAGGAGAAATGTCCCACAGGTACAAGCAGATAGCAGAATGCAATCTGCAATCTCTGCACATTCTAGGAGAAGGGGTTGGCAAAAAACCTGGCCAATAATGGCTTAAAACTAGAATCAACTTCTCTGTTATCACAGCCAACTTATCCTGAAAGTAAATCTAAAGCTGTCATCTTGTTAGATTTTTTTTTAAATTTAGATCTTAAATTTTATTTTTAGTGGTTCATTTTAATCCATATAAACATCACCTCACACTACAACCCCCTTTTTCAAACACCAGTTTCTTCATACTACTGGCATCAGCTTGCATCCTCCTGAAGTGCCTGCAAACATGGAATATCCCCTCAACTTTAACTACCAGCAGTGGGGTAGGCAAGAAATGGCAGCTGTAGGGTGAGAAGGATACAGGATAACAGGAAGGACTAATGCTACAAGAACTTTTATTTTCTTTCCATTAATAGATACAAACCGCACAGCTGTTCAATCAGGAACAGATGGCTTTATTTTTACAGATAAACTCCCAGTTATAAGAAAATATTTATGTGACTGTCAGTGTGAAGATACACTATTCTAAAATGGTTCAGCAAATCGCAGAAGCTATTTCCAAAGCAACAGAATATTTCAGTCAAGCAGCTACATTCTGCAAAAACACACACACAGTCCGGCACTTGATAAGAGTGGGGACACCACCTGTACCTGTAAAGGATTTTGATATTTGTACCTTGAAAAGACAAACATTATCTGCTGTTGCACTGCCCACAAGAGGGTGCTGGCACCCTACAAAAACTTCCACTAATTTTTAAGTTATACAGCATGCACAGCATAGCTATGGAGAACACAAACTGAAGGATGCATATGTTGTATCTGTTTTGGTCAAGCTTGAAATGCTGAGGTTTCAACCCCAAAGGTTGACATGTGGATGATTCCCACAGCCCTTCACAAAGGGGGGGGTGAGTTTGCCTTTAAGCTTCCCTCCAGGGTGTGGCCGGCCTTGCAGGGAGAGCCATTGGGTAAATGAGTCCCAGGTGTCTGCATTAAGTAAACAAAAGTCAGGTGTCCCACTTCGGGATAAAAGCTGGGACCACTTGCAGGGAGGGGCAGTGTCTGTCTGTGAGGTGGATGCACTGTGTAGAGTTCCCTGTTGGGGAAGGACCTCCTGCCTCCCTGGGGCTGGGCTCCAGTCAGCTCTGGCTTTTGTAAACACAGGCTGTGTAGAGATTCAGTGTGTGGCTTCCTTGGTCTTATGTATTTAGTTTGTTGACTTGGTTGTCTCCTGTCCCTTCTATGGGAGACTGCATGTCACCATTTATTCCACCTATTGTTGGTCGTACAGTGCTGTTGTTGGGGTCAGTGGGATTGATGTCAATTATGTATAATCTGATTGACTTGTTTGTACCCCCAGCACTCACCCATGTACTGGCCCTTTTGTATCAAATACAATTTGATTATTGGTTCATCTTTATGCTGGCTGTGTCCTTTATGCTAGGCCTAATAATTGGCAAAACAAAGTTAAACAAGAAGGGATCTGACACAATATCTAAAGTCCATATACACTAGAAGACTGCATTGATTCAATCTTGGTTTCTTTCAAAGACATTTTAATTTCCTAACGCTTCATGGTGGCATTTTTCAATAATCCAGAAAAATATGCCAATAATACATTGGCCTTAGCATGAAGTAATAAAATGCCTAGAAAGCTCAATGCAGTGTCAAGTGAAGTCAGCTTCCCACGCTGCAATGGACTATACTCAAGCCTGCCAAATGGGGATACAGTATTTACAACATGATGATTTACCATTTCCTTTAATATTTTCCCAACCTAAAAGCCCCATATCCACAAGAAAACCTCTCCCAAACCCTTGGAATATGAGCTATAAACTATGTATGACATGAAATTCCAGTATTTGTGGCAACATCCATTAAAAAAATACATTTTTTTAAAATGAGTTTTTGATAAGTCTTTCTATGTGAGCATTGCTTTAAACAAAGTTGTCATAATCCTGAGACAATGCACACTAGTAGTTTTTAACTAAGTTTTTATATTAGTATAACCTTGAGTTGTTGTAGAAATTGTATTCCTTATAGACTCTATTATCCCAGTTGGTAATTCCCTGAGTTTCAAACAAACTAAACAAACACAATTCATGAAACTTGGGACTTAAAATAAGTTTACCACTAAGTACAGAAAATCCTTATATATTGACAGCTGCAAACAGTTTTACAGGGTAAGAGCCAGCCCACAGGCATGATGCTTCCCTGGTGAAACTATGATTGTCATTTTAATACGGGTTTTTTCTCCTGCTACAGACAACAAAGAGTACAATAAAGACTTCAAAAGTAAGTCCAAGAAGAGTTGTTCTTTTTCATCACATGGCTGGAGTAACAACTAGAAAAGAAAACAAATGGAAACCAATAAACTTTTGGACAGCTTCATTTCTAAACATGACTAACGAGTTTACACAAAAAAGTTTGGAAACACACCCAACACGACTTCTGCCAGGGCAGCAAAGGATACTTGCAACCCATTTGAAGAACAAATCATAGTGGACATTTAGGACTTTCTGAAAATACTAGTTTTTTAAAGTTGAACTGAAAACGTTTGGAGGCAATGAGAATTGAAACAGACATATGATAACTAACTTCAGCACACAGACTGCATCTCACATGTATGAAAGAGCATCTCTAGTTCCTTGGAGGTAATTTGCTGGCTCTCTGTAAGCTTCTTTATGAGAAAGGCACTAAGAACTGCATCCAGCTAAAATTTTGAGGTTTTCATTGGTCAAAGAGTTCTAAAATATTTGAGATAGAAGGATTTCAGGGCTCTCCTTAAGCAATGAAGATCTCCTTCCTTGAAGGCAATGAAGGTCTCCTTGGCTGAGCAGGTGGTGGGGGTCATGTGACAAACTCTCCAGCTGTCACTGCCACCTTGCCCAAAAACCCTGCCCCATCCCAGGAGCCATCAGCCCATCCCAGGCCCACCTCCTCAAGCACAAAGAACTAGAGGCACACCACCAGGCAGGGACACAGAGTCAGAGGATGGGGTGCCCTGTCCAGGCTCCTTCACAGGTAGCTGCAGCCCCAGGTCCCAGGCATGACACCCATGAAGAAGTCAAAGGGAATAGGCACCCCTGAGTTGGGCACACACACAAATGCATCTGTGTTCCCCTCCAGTAACTTACAGTGATTTTTCCAACATACTTTAAATTTGCAACATGCTAGAAGCATCGATTCAGTTCTGTAAGATCTTGGGGAAAAAAGGATGGCCAGTCGCAGAGCCCTCCAAAACACTCACCCACAAGGGCCAGGAGTCCCACCTTGAGACACAAACCTGCAAGAACCACCCAAACACAACGTAACTATCTGGAAGCACTCACTATAAAAAACACTATTTCCAATCTTTACATAGTTACTTTCCTATTTATTTTATTTTTCCGGTGTTGAAAACCACAGGTAAGCTGCTGAGGCATCTCAGCTGCAGGTGTCCACGTGATAAAAACCACAGGTATGTTAAATCTGACATCCTCTGTCCTTCCAATTTTACCCCTGGCTCAGGAAAGAGCACTGTTTAGAGGTGGAAAGCCAACTGCATTGCTCAGCTCATTTTTGCTCAGTTTACACCCTGACACAGATTGTGTCAAGATGTTTCACAGAGAAGTCAAACAAGAAACTCAAAAGATGGTGTATTTTTCATGCAGACACAGCCATGAGTTTTGCTAACTGATTTGCACACACACGCACACACACACCCCCACCCCTGGCACCAGAGAAGGTAGGTTTTTTATTAATTATGCTTGCCTCTCAACCCTAGATTAAGGCAAGCAGCTGGAAGAAACCTTTACTCCAGCCTGAACTATCCATCCATTCCTCTGCTGGGACATGGGCAAGTGTCAACATACTCCAGTTGCAAAGCAAATGAAGATGACTGGGACTTTTAGGTTGGTTGTATTTAATTTCTAGAATTTGTCCCTCCGGGTATTTTTCTATGCCATCTTCAAGTGGTGGACTTGGCAGTGTTAGGTTTACAGTTGGACTCAATGATCTTAAAGGTCTTTTCCAACTTACATGATTCTATGATTCTTCTCCTTCAACCAGAAATCTTTCCTGCTTCAAACTGCCACCACCGGTTTCCAAAGTGTGCCTCCAGTTTGAGACCAGCTGTGAACAGCTACCAGGGCTTTGCTCCCACTCCTCCTCCTCTCCCAGGGAACATGAGGAAGAGGTGCCTTCACAGTAGATTTTGCTCCTGACCCCAGAAAATGATAGAGATAGCCTGCAATAAAAGAAATTGTATGTCTTTGCATACACAAAGGGGATGAGTCTCTGCCAGAAACTGTAAGTTTAACAGCACAACTACAGAACTGAGTTTTCCTCTGGAAATAGTTTTTCCATCTAGATATGAAGAAACAATTTGACATCTATGATGTCGAATTTGTCAGCCTGAGTTAGTGAAATAATAGCCCAAATCCAAACTACCATTCCTATATCCCTTCTGAGCTGCCCATTTGAAATTCTAAAATAAATTAAGAACAACTAGCAACCAATCATCATAATGAAAAAAAAAAAGTTTAGGAAAAAAGGACATAGATGCTGCAATTAGAAAAAGCAGTAAGCGCAGTTTATACACAATGCAAAGCTGTCAAATGTGTCTCCTTCCCTTGGCATAAAACAACTTTTTTTTTTAACTTGTGTATAGAAAGTAACTGTTTGTAACACACTGAAACCAAGTTCACTGACAGTTCAAAAGCAATAAAAATTCAGCAGCTATTA